TCCGAGAGATGAGTTTTCTGAAAAAAAAAAGTGTCCTTTATATCACTTAAATAACTATAATCCAGGTATTAGGGAAAGAAAAAAAACAACCAACAAACCAACCAGAGAACAGCTGCTCACAATAACTTCTTACAGAAATAAAAATTAATTTAACCACGCAAAATGAATTAAATGTGACAGAAGGTCACTGTCACAGCTCCTGCAAACCACCCTTTGGCTTATGGCTGGTCTTAACCACTGCACCGGGGGGTGGAAAAATAGCAGGTGGGATCTGGGGACAGCCTGTGCTGCTGGGACAGCTCTGGAGCTGGCAGCGTGCACCCCACCATCTCCCCATCCCCTGCCTGCCTCCCCCAGGCGCCAGCTACAACCACATGAAACAGGGCAACAGAATCCCCCCGTTGGGCTTTCACACCCTGTCCCATTGCTGGAGGCACAGGAGAAGGTCTTCATCAACCAGGAAGCGTCTGGGGCAAAGTGTGTCTCTGGCCAGAACCTAAGCTGAGCAAGAAAACTGGGGAAGCTTATAACTTCTTACAGAAATCAAAATTAATTTAACCACGCAAAATAAATTAAACGTGACAGAAGGTCACTGTCACAGCTCCTGCAAACCACCCTTTAAAGGCCAGGCCTATGGCCACTGGTCTTAGCTACAGCACCAGAGTGTGGAAAAATAGCAGGTGGGATCTGGGGACAGCCTGTGCTGCTGGGACAGCTCTGGAGCTGGCAGCGTGCACCCCACCATCTCCCCATCCCCTGCCTGCCTCCCCCAGGCGCCAGCTACAACCACATGAAACAGGGCAACAGAATCCCCCCGTTGGGCTTTCACACCCTGTCCCATTGCTGGAGGCACAGGAGAAGGTCTTCATCAACCAGGAAGCGTCTGGGGCAAAGTGTGTCTCTGGCCAGAACCTAAGCTGAGCAAGAAAACTGGGGAAGCTTCTGCACCGACCTCAGGAACGGCTGTTCCGCAGGGAAAATGTTCATGGGGACAACTCAGGAGAGCTACAACGGCTCCAAGACCACAAGAAAGGCTGATCTACTGCAAAGAAGGTGCGTTGAACCCGCATGGCTGTCGGCACAGAACACAGCAGGACACGCAGCAGGACCCCGGGTGACCACTGCAGATGGTGCCACACACATCAATAGTGACTCCGAGCCTTGGCATCCAGGCCCGGCCTGGCATCTGTTCTGCACTGTGCTCTCCTTGGCAATGCTCAAGTGCCACAGGCCGATGCTCAAATCAGCATAAAAAGTGTTAATGACTCCTGGGGGCAATGCACGGTCCCCTGTTCCCTGTCAAGTTTTGCTGAGCAAGAAAACTGGGGAAGCTTCTGCACCGACCTCAGGAACGGCTGTTCCGCAGGGAAAATGTTCATGGGGACAACTCAGGAGAGCTACAACGGCTCCAAGACCACAAGAAAGGCTGATCTACTGCAAAGAAGGTGCGTTGAACCCGCATGGCTGTCGGCACAGAACACAGCAGGACACGCAGCAGGACCCCGGGTGACCACTGCAGATGGTGCCACACACATCAATAGTGACTCCGAGCCTTGGCATCCAGGCCCGGCCTGGCATCTGTTCTGCACTGTGCTCTCCTTGGCAATGCTCAAGTGCCACAGGCCGATGCTCAAATCAGCATAAAAAGTGTTAATGACTCCTGGGGGCAATGCACGGTCCCCTGTTCCCTGTCAAGTTTTGAACACAGAGTCACAGGGGGTTGGAAGGGACCTCTGGAGATCAGGAACGTGTCCAGGTGGGTTTGAATGTCTCCAGAGAAGGAGACTCCACCACCTCCCTGGGCAGCCTCTTCCAGGGCTCTGCCACCCTCACAGCAAAGAAGTTCCTCCTCATGTTGAGGTGGAACTTCTTATATTCAAGTTTGTGCCCATTTCCTCTTGTCCTGTCCCTGGGCACCACTGAAAAAAGACTGGCCCCATCCTCCTGACACCCACCCTTTAAGTATTTATAGGTGTTGATCAGATCCCCCCTCAGCCTTCTCTTCTCCAGACTAAAAGGACTCAAGTCTCTCAGCCTTTCCTCGTAAGGGAGATGCTCCAGGCCCCTCATCATCTTTGTAGCCTCTGCTGCACCCTCTCCAGCAGATCCACTGATCTGATGAACAACTGCAAAAATCCACTGTCAGCACTTTGTTTCTCCACCAGCACCTCCCATGGTGTGCCTGCAGGAAGGACCAAGAAGTGCCCAAGGGGCACAGATGAGGGACAGACAGTTGCCCTAAGGATCTCCTTAATCTTAAATCTCCTGCTTAAATCTTGAAGCAGGAGCTTTAAGAGCCCTTCCAGGATTATTTCCAATAACCATTTTGACACTGTCATTTTTTAATGGTATTCTTTACCAGACGTCATTGACTATTGAGTACCCCAGGCTTTGAATGCAAGTTTTCTGGCTGCACCCGTACCGTGCTGTTTCATGAATGAGACTTCCTCCTCAGTCATTTTAAAAACATCCCTGACTTGCTCTCCACGTGTCTGACCAGGCCAGTGGAATCCATGCTCTACACTCCTTCCCTCGTTTCTCTCTGTTCTCCTTACCTGTGTCCACTCTGAAGCAACGTGACCGAGGCTCTGAACCAGCCTCATCTCCTGCACGACCTCTGCTGCGTTGCAGAGCCCACCCCGGGGCAGAGGGGACAGCACGTTCAGAGAATCATAGTGTGGTTTGGGTTGGAAGGGACCTTGAAGATCATCCAGTGCCACCCCCTGCCCTGGGCAGGGACACCTCCCACCAGACCAGGTTGCTCCAAGCCCCATCCAGCCTGGCCTTGAACCCCTCCAGGGATGGGGCAGCCACAGCTTCTCTGGGCAACCTGGGCCAGGCTCTCACCACCCTCACACCAAAGAATTTCCTCCCCAGATCTCATCTCAAATATTCTTTTTCTGTTTAAAACCCTTCCCCCTCATTCCATCCCTCCCCAGCTCTCCTGGAGCCCCTTTAGGGTCTGGAAGGGGCTCTGAGGTCTCCCTGGAGCCTTCTCTTCTCCAGGCTGGACAACCCCAGCTCTCTCAGCCTGTCCTCACAGCAAAGGGGCTCCAGCCCTTGGATCATCTTCATGTCCCTCCGCTGGACCCATTCCAACAGGTCCATGTCCTTCCTGTGCTGAGGACTCCAGAGCTGGACACTGCTCCAGGTGGGATCTCCCCAGAGCGAAGCAGAGGGGCAGAGTCCCCCCCTCACCCTGCTGGCCACGCTTCTCTTGATGCAGCCCAGGGTGCCGTTGGCTCTCTGGGCTGCCAGCACACGTTGCTGGCTCATGTTGAGCTTCTCATCCCCATTCTCCAGCCTCTCCCTAAGCTGTGAGAAGACAGAGCCACTGGAATGACATGCTGGTTTGATTCAGGGGCCCACCACATCACTCACAAGCTGCTTCACTGGCTCAGGCTCTATCTGCATTCCTACTTGCCTTATCTCAAGCCTTCTCCTGCCCAGAGAGGCCTCCTACCCACTTGCACACCTCTGAGCAGACCCAAGGAAGGACCAGCTCCTGGCTTCCGCTGTGACATTCGTGTTGCCTTTGATGGGCAGCTCCAAGCCATCATCTTCTACTGCCAACAACGCTCCTCAGCTGTAGTGACCTTCCCTGTTTTCTGATGGAGGATTTGGGGTATGCAAAGAGAAAAGATCACTCACCTGCTCATCTGTTCTAATTAAGTGTCAGCACCTGCTGGTGGATGGGGTGGCTGAAAGCAGACAGTAGCAGCACAGCTCTTTCCATATATTCCTAGGGATAACCCGTAGAGTTGCTGAGGCTCAAAGATGTTTGACTGTAGCTATATAAACCAGAGTCATCTTCTGCACTCAGGTCTAGACGGGCAAGGACCGACAGGGTTAGGATGTCTCCCGACTAGTCCTGCAGAAGTTTAAACTCCCCAGGGTCAGTTTTTGGGCTTGGCAACCCCATGGGGCCCCAGACACGGCCCAAGGGGCTCCACAGAGCACACTGGAGCCTTTGTGGGCTGTCACACTCCAAGCCTCCAGCTCTGGCCAGCTAAGGGGCATTTCACCCAGGGGTTGCCCTGATGGGTGAAGAGAGCTGATGAAAGAAGCCAAGGGCAAGTTATTCCCCCACTACAGCTTGCAAAAAAAGGGGGAGAAAAAAAAAAAAAAAAAAAAAAAAATCAAACAAAACTGTTCCTCACCAGGGAAAACAGAACAAACTGCATGAGACACAGAGCAGAGGATTACAGATTTTTATTTGTCAAACATTCCCCCCTAGTCTAGCACATTCTACAGTCTTGCTAGCACAGATGGTAACAAAGAGCCTGTAATGGTTCAGAAGTTACACTGCTACAGAGAGCAAACAAAAGCAGAGATTTATTATGTAAAAAAAAAACAAAACAAAACAAAACCAACTTATTGTGAGAAATGGGTGAAAGAGTGCAGAGGGGCTGGGTGGAAACTATGTCAGCTAGTGGTGCCTGCCCTGTGCGCAGCAGACGTCTGTGCTAGCAATGTAGAAACCCTGCCCGGGGTCCCACAGGTGAAGGCTCCACTGTCCTGGAAGCATCATTTCACAGAACCATCCCCACTGCCTTATGGAGAAGGCTCCTCTTAGGAGGAGCAATCGATCTTCTACGTGCTTGGGGAGCACCCCAGGGGAGCACCACCCCGAGCACCAGGGCACCAGCTGTGAAGGTCCCCTTCTCCCACACACCGTAGCCCTGCCGTGGCCACAGGACCAGAACTGCAACACCATCTCTTCTTTCACCTCCAGCTCCTGCTGCCTCTCCTCCCTGCTGCACACCACGGTATTAGATGCAGTTTTGGTTCCATCAGAGATTGTTTTCCATCAACTCCAGACACATGGGGGTGGGGGGAGAGACATAAGGCTACTGCAGGGAGAGGATCCCTTCCTGGAGGGTGAGGAACTGGGGTGATGGGTCACCACGTGCTACCGAACCTTCACACGGACAGAACCTTTAGGCTTCAGGAGGAGTCACCTCTTGCTTGCCTTTCCCCACATTAATTAGAACATGTTGTTTTTTTTTCATTGGACATGCAACTGCAGCAAACCCTAAGCTATCCCTGTTCATGCTCATGTCCCAAAGTTGATTGATTTGTTGTGGATTTTTTTTTTTTTTTATAATGGGTGCAAACGTGCACATTATTTTGGTGACAGTCTAGGACACCACTCCCAAGGCACTCCTACCCGTGGCACCAGATACAGGTTTCTCATTCCTGGAGCAAGGCTAGCCCTGAAGCATTTGAGTGTGGCTATAAATAAGCAACTAAGTAAGGAAATTAACAAATGATGAGCTACATAAAAGCTTTCTAGGCATTTCCTTTGGAAAAGCTGATTAGTGCTACTTGCTTCTAGTATGAGCCTGGTTTATGAACAGACCCGGGCTCTGGAACGCTCCCACTTTCATTCCTCTCACTTACCAGGATGATTTGCCTGCTGTTTCCACAGCAGCAAAGGGTAGGGGATGGCTTGTTTTTAGACACACCAACAAGGAAAATTAAGGGCTCCAAGAAGCTTTCAATATGCCAAAGTCTCACAGGAAGCTGGGAGTATAGTAAGATATGCTGAAGTTTAAAAAGAAGGCTCAAGCAATTTGTTAAACCCCAGTGTAAATAAAAGCAACCACTCTGTGGAGTTACCCGACCCCTTCTCAGCCCAGAGCTGCGTGGTGGCTCCACGCTCTGAAAGATGGCATTTGATCCTCTGGAGATGAAGAACCTTGTGAGTTCAGCAAAGACAAGGAGAACACACCCAACCCAACGTAAGGCTTCGTGCCAAGAGTCCCCTGCCCACTCCCCCCTCAGGCACTTGTCCAGGAGCATCCCTCCCCACCTCACGTCACTCCCCCCCAGCCTGAGCCTGCCTTAGAGCAAACAAAAGAGCTCAGGGTACAGGGCCTGAGGTGCTAACACAGATCCACCACGACACTGTCCTGAATCCAGCAGCAGCCAGCAGCAAACCCTTTGGGCAAGAATACAAAAAAAACTGGACAAGTATTCAGCAACCCCCTACCAGGCATCCAGCCTTTCAACAAGCAGCAGTTTAGGAACTTTCAAGTCTCCAGTGTCCTATGAGGAAATATCCCAGGCTAGAAAAGCTCAAGGCTTATGAAAAGGAAGTTTTTTTGAGAAGGGGCTGGAGACCTCCCGAATTCTCTGCATCCCTGCCCTCTGTGCCCATGATCCAAGCTCTCCTGCGACACAAGCAAACGAGAAGCCAAGTTGCCTGCCTGAGCCTGCAACGTGACATCTGTGGTTTACGGAGCGCTGTTGCTCCTCCATCACCATCCTCAGCACCAGCGTGCTCTCAGGGCTCTTTGACCACCGCCAGCCCCTGCTGTGCTGAAGAGACAGAGAGCACAGACTGCTGCAGGACAGGGACATCGCTGTCAGCCCACGGCTACAGCAGGACTCCAGCCAGAGGTGCTCCTGTCTCCAGCGCTGTCCCCCGGTGCTGTATTCCTTAATAAAAGTACATGGTCTCTTCTGAACATACATGATCGCTCCCCCCGAGTGCTAAGGAGCAGGCTCTCTGCAGGCAGAGATCAGGCCAGGTCCCCAGAGCTGTCACACCTTGGAAGAGCCTGGAGACAGCACTTCTTCCTAACAGACCAACCCAGCCCCGGCTCAGCAGGGATTTGCAGGTCTGAAGCACTGGTTACTAATATTGTCCTTCCTATTGCTTTGGGCTCCATTTTTATGAGAAACCAGTCAAAGGTTCACATACACCGTGACCCCACATACTGGTGTCTTGTCCTTTGGTAAGGGCTGTGGAGCACGGGCAGCCAGTCAACCTGCTCTGGAGACCATGGGATTTGTCTCCCCTCAGGACAGAGCAGCGTATTATGTGCCAAATAACACAAATCCCACCAGATCTATTAGCTGCAGCCCAGAATGGCTGATTTTTATGTGCAACATGTGCCATCGGGTGTTGTAGAAAGGGGATCTGTCTATTTGTGTCATGAACTAACTGCAGCCAGAACCTACATCTCTGACTCAAGTCTGTGAGCCCTGGGATCCCAGCTTAGGATCTGCCTTTTTTTTTGTTTCCTTGTGACAACGAGGTGTGGCCAGACACGCAGACTGGGGGTCAATTTGAAACCTACCACCATGAGGTGATGCCATGGAGACAGCCTTCAAAGCCAAAGTCATCAAACTATTCAAAGGCTCTGGCGGCAGGGCATGCCCAAGATGAGACTGCTGAAGACTCCTGGCGGCTGGTAACCAGAAAAACCACTCCTGTTCCAACCTCCACTCAAAAGAAATATGAAATGAAATCCATGAAAGCAGCGCAGACAAGGTGGTAGAACAGTATGGCTCATTGCACTGCCTGATAAAAAAAACCCTTCTGAACAGAAGCTACCAACACCTTCAGAAAGGAGTAGAGAGCCTTTCTGCCAGCCCCAGCCTGCTGGAACACCAGGACAGCACCACATCTCCCATGGATCTTGCCACTGCCAACACAAAAGAGGGGATGGGAAAACACCAGCTAACACTCTGCACTAACACCTCCTGACTCCCAGCTTCTGTCCTGCAGGAACAAAGAGACAGGGCAGGATCCCAGGCACCTCCCCAGGGGTGTGCCTACAGCCTTCAAGCTCCCCAGCAGTAGCAGAAACCTCAGCCAGAAAACAAAAACCTTCGGAAACCAAAAAAAAAAAAAAGCGAGCTACCAAATCCATGCCCTCCATAAGGGCTGCCCAGAGCCTCAGCAGATCCTGCCCACACCACCTTTTTAGCAGGCTAGGGAATGCACCCTGTGTGCCCGCTGCAGTCCAGGCACCGATGTGACCACCTGAGGAGGAGTGTGCTCTTAACAACCAGTATCCCCATCCACCACGCTCTTGGCTGGGCAGGAGCTCCCCGTGGAGGACGATGGGGACCCAGGACACCTCCTGCCCACACCAGGAAGAGACATCCTTCCCCACCTACGCCCTGATGCCCTGCCCACTTTTCTAATGACATTTTCAGCTTCTTGGCCCAAAACGCCTTAGGCCTGTCCCCTCCCATACTGTAGTGTTATCTGGTATCAAGGGGACAGATGCAGCAAATGTGTTTGTTTTGCGTTTTTTTTTTTTTTTTCTTCTTTTTTATCCAATAATCTCATTTTCAATTAAAATATATAATATATATTTAAAAAGGTTTAGAAAAGCTTCTATGTAATTTGCAGCTACTTTTACATATAGATTACAATAATGTACAACTCTTCCCCGAGGTGGTTTGAAACCACAGGGACCTGCCAATTCTTTCCCCTCAGTCATATACATTATCAAACACCAAACGTGTTTGTTCCTAAGACAGCTCTGAAAAAGAAGTCTGTCACTGGTACCTTCTCAGAGGGAGAGATGCCTAATACGCCTAATGGGGACACACTGAACATTGGCTTTATAGTCACTGTAGAAAGTTCCCAGATTAGTAAAAAAATATTTCATCTATAGAAAATGCCCTTCTGAAAAGCAACCAGGGCTCTGTTAAGGCCACACCCAGGCTTTCCATTTCTCTGCAAGACAGATCAGAAACAAACAAACAAACCCAAAATGATGGTTTTATGTCCCAGAAACAGCTATTAGCACCTGTGCTTATGTTACAGCAGCCTGGTGTATCAGGAAAGTGCTGAGAACAGCATAGGGACTTCTCAAAACATGCTTCTGATTCAACGGGGCTCCATTGGCACAGTGAAAAACTCAATGTCCTCCTCTTCCACTCGGGTGGACAAGAGGAAGCCTTCTACACCACAACCACCACCCTTCCCCGCAGAACGACGACGGGTGCTCCAGAGATGGGCACACTGAAATCAACACCTGAAACAGCCCACCCTTGTCCCGTGGGGCTTCCCCCAGCAGGCTCCTTCCAATTCCTCCGCCAGTCTGTGGGATACACCAAATGCACATCTGCTGGCTTCACAAAAACGTCTCAACTACTTTGCCCCATAGGGCAAGCCAAGTGAGAGCAGAGCCAGCCCTCCACCAGTCTGAGGCACTGGGAGACTTTCTGCCGTAGCAGAGAGAGGATAGCATTGAGATATTCCTCCAGCAAACCCAACTCTTCACATGGGAAAATGCTATTGCCTGGCACAGACTCTTCTGGCCAAGGATTTTACCGGGGCTCCTCTCTGGACGTGTACAGCCCAGGGTTTCTCCAGATGGTCCAAGGCAGGGTCAGGTTTGTAGGAAGAGCCGTGGCACATGACAGGATTATTACTTTTAAACTCTTCCTGTTGCAGCCAGATGCAGGTTGCCCCTTCTTCCCAGGTGGGCAGCCCCTTCTGCCCAAGCCATAGTGTGCAGGGAAACCGAATCCAACGTGCTCCATTCTTTTCTCTGCCAGGGGTGGGAAGTGAAGTCAGAACCCGATGTTCAAAACCCGAAGGACACTAGAAAGAAGAAAAAGAGAGTGAAGTGTTAGATCTCAGCTTCAGTGGGAATCCTGGGTACACACATAATGAGGTAATTACTATCCATCAGCCCCTGCTGCTCAATTCCAGCAAGGAGCAAACACAGATCAGGAGACCTTGATCAATGGATAGTCAAGTGGAGGATGCAACTGCTCAGCTCCAAGCTTCAGAGTAGGACTGAGACAGAAACACAGAACAAAAGCACAAAGGTCAAAAGTAAGCACTCCTCCTGTAAGCTGATGGCACCAACAGAGCTCTGCAAGATAAGGACTTGGCTAACTCCAGAGATGTTGCAGGAAAGCAGGAAGGAAAGAAGGAAGAAGAAAATTACTCTTCACCTTAAGCAACCACAAATACCAACTCAAGCACTCCTCCTGTAAGCTGATGGCACCAACAGAGCTCTGCAAGATAAGGACTTGGCTAACTCCAGAGACGTTGCAGGAAAGCAGCAAGGAAGAAGAAAATTACGCTTCACCTTAAGCAACCACAAATACCAACCGGTAGGGAAAAGATTAAGGGAGTTTTTAGAGATCACCCACTAAAACTGTTTATGCTCACTCACATAAAGAAATCCTGTATCTACCTATAATAACTAAACACTTCTAGATATCTCAGGCAAGTCTAAGTGTCAATGAAGCTGTGACTGTGACCTGAAACAAAAGCTCTGGAAACCAGCAGCAGTTTAGAGAGGACATACTGCTTTATCTGACATCGGGTGCAAGGTGGAAATCCACAGATCTAGCACACCTTACCAGGGACCTTCAGCCATTATTCTTACACCAAAGATTCTCATAACTCCACCTCCCTAATCCATAACTCCACCTCCCTAATCCATAACTCCACCTCCCTAATCCATAACTCCACCTCCCTAATCCATAACTCCACCTGGTCTGACATTCATTAGGATGATCAAATAGCCCTTTTTGCACATGTGCATTAAGTTTTGCAGCATCAGCAAAACACCTCCATGCAGGCGTGAATTCCTCGGTGGTCATTTGGGGAGGGATACGTTACGCTCACATTATCCTTTTAAGTTATTGAGTCATCTCAGGACAGTAAAAGTTTACTGTAAGTTTGCCAGCTTCTTGCGGATGAGGAGGATGTCCTTTGAAGTAGCCACAGCTGTGTCCTAACTGGTACAGGAGTACATACTTTGACATATGAGAGAACCTTGAAGTGATTAACTACTTCTTGTTATCCCATCCTTATCACTATCAGCTCAGTGACTATCTTCTTGCACAGTAAGCAGCTCAGTAATTATTTTCTCACACAGGAAGAAGGTTTGTAGGAAGCAAACAACATTTTAGTTAGCATATGGTTATAAACAAAGCAGAGGCCTGCCTTTGGTAACACCACAACTCAAACATGCCTTGGAATAGGTCTAAGCAGACTTAGGACAGACATAAATCCCCCACCACAGGCCTATGATCCACTTGGGAAGGCAGAATAGTGAGATAAATGTAGGGCACCCAAGCAGTTGTGTTCTGTAACAGTGAGCATGAAATAAACTTGTGAAAAGGGAAAGAAGCTACAAGAAGGAATCAGCCCTGACCAAAAAAAAAAAGACAATAACTTAAGACCAGAGCAACAGAGAAACTGCAAGTTGATGAGGGTTTTATTTATGAATGTTCTGGTAGACAAAAAAATCCAGTATTTGGACCAAAGGGAATTAGATGGAGCACAGCAAGAAAACCACGAGTCCAGGCTGAGCTGGGCAAGGGATGAAGAGCTCTCCAGGCTATGAAGCTACAGGGAGTATCACTGAACAACCAAAGATCATTAACTAACGTCCACCAGCAGAATGGATGGACTTTACAATTGTCAGTGAGGCGCACACTGTACCACCACAACTCTACCACTTTTGCAAAAAGAGGCAATTCTGTTCCCAAGAGTCCCTGCTACTGGCTTGCAGAAATACACAGCAGAGGGGCAATCCTCAGAGACAGCCAGGTGGCCACCCACACTTCCCACAACCAGAGTAGGGGACACTTGCTTTAAGTGCTGAAGGCAAGACTGGTTGCCTGTGACTAAGTGCCTCCAGGCCATGCTCTAATTCCAGCTGTGGCTACCTTTTTTCCATGACCTTGCTCACTAAGGTTCCTTTATGAACCTTATGAACCTTATGAACTTGCATCTGCAACACCTGACCCAGTGAACGTCAGACTTACAACTAAGTGAGCTGCAGCTACCCAATAACAGCACCAGAAACTGCAGAATTTATATTTATTCCGGTCAAGAAAAGTATTCACACCATGGCTTTCTTCCTTGGTGGCTGATAGCTGGGTGTGCAGGTGTTGCGGCACTGCTGGGCAGAGACAAGGTTTTAATGTTTGGTCTCTAATCTCCAAGTAAGCAGACGGCAGGCTCAGACTCCTGGGGAAGCTGTGGAAGAGCTCTTCAGCATTCAACTTGCAGGTGGTGATAAAATCATGGCAGCTTTGAGCACCGTGAGCAACAACAACTACCTTGTGTCTTCCCAAGTACTGCAGAAAGACTAAGTACTTGTTCCTAAAGACCTTTTTCTCGTGTACAAAGAGAAATATTTCATAGAATAGTTAGAGTTGGAAGGCACCTTACAGATCATCCAGTGCCACCCCCTGCCCTGGGCAGGGACACCTCCCACCAGCCCAGGTTGCTCCAAGCCCCATCCAGCCTGGCCTTGAACCCCTCCAGGGATGGGGCAGCCACAGCTTCTCTGGGCACCCTGGGCCAGGCTCTCACCACCCTCACAGCAAAGAATTTCTTTCTGGTGTCTCATCTCAATCTCTCCTCTTCCAATTTTAAACCATTAAACCCCTTGTCCTGTCACTGCACTCCCTGACAAAGAGTCCCTCCCCAGCTCTCCTGGAGCTCCCTTCAGATATTGGAAGGGGCTCTAAGGTCTCCCCGGAGCCTTCTCTTCTCCAGGCTGAACACCCCCAGCTCTCTCAGCCTGTCCTCACAGCAGAGGGGCTCCATCCCTCTGAGCATCTTCGTGGCCTCCGCTGGACCCGTTCCAACAGGTCCATGTCCTTCCTGTGCTGAGGGCTCCAGAGATGGACACAGAGCTCCAGGTGGGGTCTGATGAGTGCAGAGGTACTCTACTATTTCCCCAGCTATAGTTCCATTCTGGCTGTTCAAATCGCAGAGTGTGATCACTGGCATTTACTGATGAACAGTTTTTGCTCAGCTTTACACCCATAACTGTCCCAGAAGGCTACAGGTTATCCCACAGTAACTACTCCAAAGGACAGCTTTAGGTTAGTGATCACTTCGGGTACCTTTTACCAATGTGAATTTAACATGGCAAAAACACCCTCACAGAAAGGACAGGAAAGGAAAAAGCCCAGCACAGTGGAACATCTATAGTGGCTGCCTTGCCTTCCCTCAACAGCGATTTCCAAACAGGGACTTCAATAACTCATAGAATCATAGAATTGCCCAGGCCGGAAGGGACCTCCAAAGGCCATCTAGTCCCACCCCCCCACAGTCAGCAGGGACACCCCCAACTAGACCAGGTTGCCCAGGGCCTCGTCGAGCCTCACCTTGAATATCTCCAGGGAAGGGGCCTCAACCACCTCCCTGGGCAACCTGTTCCAGTGCTCCACCACCCTCACAGTGAAGAACCCTCTCCTCATCTCCAGTCTAAATCTGTTCCCCTCCAGCTTGAAGCCATTGCCCCTCGTCCTGTCACTGCAGGCCTTTGTAAACAGGCTCTCCCCAGCCTTCCTGTAGGCTCCCTTCAGGTACTGGAAGGCTGCTATTAGGTCTCCCCGGAGCCTCCTCTTCTCCAGGCTGAACAACCCCAGCTCCCTCAGCCTGTCCTCGGAGCAGAGGTGCTCCATCCCCCTGCTCATCCTCGTGGCCCTCCTCTGGACCCTCTCCATCAGGTCCAACTCACTGCAGTCACAGGTTCAGAGAACAGAGAGATGACCTCCTCACAGACACTGATGTCTGCAGCTCACTTGGTTTTGGAACTTGTAAATTTGAGAAAAAATTCTGCCTGCTTTTCCTAGGGGTCCTCCTGGAACACTCCGATTTCTCTCCACAAACAGGCTTTTCCCCTTTGCTTAGGGACCTGACCCACCGCTCCGTCCTGGCAGTGCTTCACACGCTTGCTCTCCTTCGGGGAGAAATCTCCCCTTCATCCCACTCCACAGATTCCAGGATACAGGCAAAACTGAAAAGCTTTGCAAAGCTCAGAAAAAGCAAACAATCTAAGGACAGAATAAAAAGCTGGAAATAAAGCATGCCCTCTCCTCCAAGTGCAGTACACCAAGAGACACGTAGGAACTACCAGGAGATACTGGTTTACAACTTGCTCCAGATCCCACTCCTTTCTCAGTGAGCATGTGTCCAGCCTGTCTCCCAGAAAGCTTCACTCCCATGTAACGCATGGAACAACACAAATCCGGGGGGTTTAACATCAGATAGCTCCTCTGTTTTGACTGAGCAATTTGCATGCTAAATATGGAATAATAATACGGAACGAGAACACAACCATGCCATTAAGAACTTGTGTCCTCCCTCTTAAGCGTTTGACCATGGCCACATCTTCACCAGTGCTAGACACTACCTTTTGCTAGACATTCCCTCAGCTTCTCTGCTTTACACTCTTCAAAAAAAAAAAATAAAGTCTATACCTGGTATCCTGTCTTGTCTATCCAGCCCAGGTAATTAATGCACCCAAGGCTGCAGGACCGCTTGCATACATTTTGAAAACAGTACTGTGAAAAATGTTTCACCCCTGCAAAGTCAATGTATTCCTCAAATACGATGGCCTGCCCTAGCGTGGCATGAAAAGAAATAAATAAAACCACCATAAAAGCTTAGAAAACTATCCAGTGGAAACATTGCTCGAAAGGCCACAGCCTCCACCACTAACTCACAAAGAGTCCTAACGCGGGTGAAGGATGCTATAAAAGCTTAGAAAACTATCCAGTGGAAACATTGCTCAAAAGGCCACAGCCTCCACCACTAACTTGCAAAGAGTCCTCACACGGGTGAAAGGTGCCGGGATTTTGTCAACCAAATTTGTCTTAGAAATCAAAACTGAGTTTCCATGTTCCACCAGGAGTTGGGATATTTGATTTAAGACTCAGTAATTCAGCAAGAGCACAGTTAACACATGCACAAGACTATCAAAAGCCCCATAACGAAGCAGAAAATCATACTCAATCCTCCCTGTACCTGAGATCTGTTAAATACAGACAGAAGAATGTTACTAATAAATGAGATCCTAAGCAGTGTGGTGGGACTTGGAGTAAGGGGGAGTTAAACTGTGCTTAAAAAGTCAATATATAGCGGCATATCAGAATGTTCACAGGGTTTAAGTACCACCAGCTCAAAGGACAGCATTTCACTTTGCCTAGGGCCAAGACACTGTACTGGGGCAGAACAGAAAAATAAAAAACCCCTTAATATCTGGTCTCCAGCGTGACCAGCAGGAGAAATACAGGCACCAATACAGGTTAGGGGTGGACCTGCTGGAGACAACTTCTGAAGAGAAAGATCTAGGGGTCCTGGTGGACAGCAAAATGCCAATGAGCAAGCAGTGTGCTCTTGTGGCCAAGAGGCCAATGGGATCCTGGGCTGCAGAGGGAAGAGTGTGGCCAGGAGGTGGAGGGAGGTCATTCTCCCCCTCTGCTCTGCACTGGGGAGGCCACAACTGGAATCCTGCCTCCAGTGCTGGGCTCCCCAGTTCAAGAGAGACAGGGAACTGCTGGAGAGAGTCCAGCGTAGGGCAACAAAGATGATTCAAGGATTGGAGCACCTCCCTGATGAAGAAAGACTGAGAGAGCTCTGACAAGCTCTAGGCAATCCTGCTTCAACAGGGGAGTTGGACTAGATGATCCCTATGGTCCCTTCCAACTCTAAAAACTCAGTGAAATTCAGTGAAATCACCAGAGAATTTGGGTTGAAATGGGTCTCCAGAGGTCACCTAGTCCAAACCACCTTCAGGTTACTCAGATGCATAGGAAAGAGTATTAAGGTCAAGTACATGATAATTTCACTCAGTCTCCATCATTTTGAAGCTCAAGGGCTTCCATAACTGAAGCAGTATCTGCAATTTGCCCTTACTTCTGCCTGCTCAGCTGGCCAGTATTAGGGGTTGAATTTGCAACCCTAGCAAATACCCTATCTGCCTCCTAACCAGGGAACATTCTTGGCAAGGCTTCCACTTTCCAACCAATACCCAGCCTACACTCCAGTCCATAAAAACACTGCCCATTTTCTGTCACCTGAGCTCCACATGTGAAGTATGCCTTCAGCTCCATTTCTCTAATTCTTCAGCTGCCTCAGTGGTTAAAGAGCTTCAAATCAGGGTCTCACACCTCCAGAGAATAAGACATTTCATAGAGTCATAGAATTACCTAGGGTGGAAGTGACCTTTAAGATCATCTAGTCCATCCATCAACCTAACTCTGATAAAAACCATCACAAACTCATGTCTCTAAGCACTATGTCAACCTGGCTTTTAAATCCCTCCAGGGATGGTCCCTCAATCCCTTCCCTGGGCAGCCCATTCCAAGGCTTCATAACCCTTTCTGTGTCAAAACTTTTCCTGATCTCCAATCTGAACCTCCCCTGGGGCAACTTGAGGCCATTTCCTCTTGTCCCATGGCCTGTTCCTTGGGAGAAAAGACCAACCCCCCCTGGCTACACCCTCCTTTCAGGGAGTTGGAGAGAGCCAGAAGGTCTCCCCTCAGCCTCCTTTTCTCCAGGCTGAACACCCCCAGCTCCCTCAGCCTCTCCTCACAAGACTTGTGCTCCAGACCCCTCACCAGCTCTGTTGCCCTTCTCTGGACCCGCTCCAGCACCTCAGTGTCTTTTTTGTGGGAAGGGGCCCAAAACTGGACACAGCCCTCGGGGTGGGGCAACTCTTTTAACTCTTGTTCTCAAATACACGATTTAATAAACTGATTCTCAAAATTTTTGTGCAAATACAAAAGGTAGCTGAAGAGGCAGCTTTGCCATGCAGGGGATGGCACTAACGCATCCTTCCTCCTTCCATCTCCGTTCACACCACAAGCTCCCATCTCCCATTCCCATTCCAATAATGGGTACCCAAGCCATTGAGTAGTTAACACTGCTCGACCAGCTTACCAGCCTTTACAGGCACTACTGCAGATCAGGGAAGGGCAGAAGGATGGGCAGTCGTGACACAGACAACACTTTGCAACTACATATAAGAGAACATTTGGCAAAAATAATAACAACCTGGATAGAAACCCAGCGTGTGCTTAGCTCAGTTCAACTGCTCTATATATAGAGGATTATATATACCTATATATAGTATATATGATACATATATACTTTACAGAATCAGCATATGCTCTCACATCAACTTTAGAGCTGTAGGCATTACATGGCAGAGCCCCCTGTCCTGTAATGCAGTCAGCTCTGGTAACGAGAGACAACAGGAGCTTCAGTCAGGATGCTGCTCTACTCCATAGAGGAGTTTACTACCTGGTAGGTTAGATCTACCTACCTTACACAGCTTTTTCTCCTTCTAAAAGGGAACATGGCTCTGCCAGAAGCTTTTTACACAAAGAGCACCTGTGCTTCCAAAGAGGTATCTTCAAGTGCTGCAGATCTGGGCACAGGAACCCCCCCAGACAGGGCTGTTCCCATCACAGAGCTGTAGCACTTTCCATGAACTACACCCACCTTTTTGTGCTCCTGAAGTTAACTTGGTACCCAGGTATGGTTGGAGGCTTGTGAGGTGCTGGGATAGCTGGGAGTAGACAGCATGGGTTCAAAATTAAAGTCCAGTCCTTCTCCATCCATCAGTTCACTGTTGATGATGTAATCCATATCACATTCAAGGTTCTCCATGTACATATCAATGTCCAGGTCAATGGGCAGCCTGTCCTGGTTCAATCCCAAGGGAGCAGGGCTAGCAGAAGAAAGAAGCAGTGGACTGCCCAGCTGGACTGACTGGGCAGTTGTTGCAGAAACTGGAGCCTTCAAACTGGTGATGCTGGCAGTGTTTTGAGGAGATGTTACTATAGGAAGTGTTGATGGCAAAACATTGGCACTGACTGGTTCTGCCTGCTGCTCTGTGGGCTTTCCTCGTGGATTGCCCGAGCTCATCTTACTCTGGGCAGCTTGTCCACCTAGAAGCAGAAGAGTTCGGCTGCTCATTCTGCTACCAGTCTGTGGGAGAACTGGATCCACCTGAGTCATCATAACATCCCTCGGAGGAGGAGAGCTGGGTGTCAGAAGAGCTTCCAAGGTCTGAGGGGCAGAGAAATGGCTGACAGAACTTTGCAATGAGATATCAACAGGGTTAAAAAGGGAATTGCCAAACGTAGTGGTCTGACCAGCTGCACTCGGGCTCCGCAAGGAAAAGCTGGAATCTCTCTGGATCTGACCACTCGAGGCAGACTGCTGGGTAGATAAAACAGATGTGCTGGGAGACATCAAATTCAACCCATCGATGAGCTCAAGCTCCTCGGTCACAGTTGGTGGAACGTTGCTGGATGCACTGGAGTACACTAGAGAAGGAAGCAACTCTTCTTCGTGGAGGTCATCCTGCTCCGTCAGGATAGGAGAGAGCCTGGCACTAATGGTGCTTGCATTGGAACTGGTTCGAGGCCGGAAGGTGTTCCACACATCAGAGTCCTCGTTGCTTCTTGAGGACGGGCTCCCAGGCCACTTGGGGAATTGGGAGCCAGGACTGTCAGCAGTGGATTCTGGAGCAGACTGGAGAGGAGGCTTCTTTTTGGATGCTTTACCTCTGACTTTTGCGAGTTTGCTGCTGTTGTCCATGGAGGCAGCTCTTCTTCTTGGTGCTTTTCCACTTTTACCACCCTCGGGATTGAGCATCCACCAAGAGCTCTTCCCTGTGGCTTCATTGTGAACTTTAATGAACTTGCTGTGCAGGGACAGGTTATGTCTAATAGAGTTCTGGAAAAAAAAAATAAATAAAGACAAGATATGAGGACCTGACAGTCGACACACCTCCCACCCAGAAACCTCACAAGCATAGAATGCATTCAGACAGCATCCAGGCCTTCCTGTCTCCTGGAAGGCTGCTGCTTTTGCATCCAAAGAATCCCCTCCCTTTTCCCAGGTAAATGGGGATGACTTTGAAGGCATAAAGCTGCAGCAATAAGAACCACTGGGCTGTCACTAATTCTTCATTTATTCTCCTGAAAGTCATCTGCAAAATCACGATGACACCCAGTCCTGTCAGGAATGACCCAGCAGCTTGTAAACACAGTACAGATTTGGAGTCTTTTAACCACCATTCACTAAAATGGAACTCGAAATCAATAGGTTTCAAAATTTCACAATTAACTATATTGTGTGTTCTTCTCGTGCATGGCTATAGCCAGGATTTAATTCCCGTGTCAGCAAAAGCACACTGCATTGGTACAACCATTTCATTAACACTGAAACCTCAAGAAAATTAGCACCACTTCGGGTATCAAAGTGACAATTTTAGTAACTAGTTTTTTTAGGGTTTTTTTGGCTGTAAAGCAGCTTGAAAGAAGACATGTTGGAGTACGACTAGGATTCACATGTGCACAGATAGGTGAGGCCTGGTACCTTTTATGAGACAGTCTGAAAGTGCTTTTATGTGTTACCGCTACACTGACATAATGACTAATAACTGTAGAAACAGATAATTGCAGTACCACTCCTTCCTTCCTCATCTTCAAACTCTCCTCTTCCCATAACACAAGCACCTGTGACCCTACAAGCTGGTTCAGAGCACTAACCCGACTCAAAAGCAGCCCTATCCATCCTCGAAAATGACTTTTCCTGGCTCCTTTCCCCTCTGCCTGTTTTTTGAACCACCTCACTGTGGGTCAAGCACTGAAAACTACGGAACAGAATGTGTGGGTGGAGGCAGAGGAAAAACCCAAAGGCTTCTTACATCAGGGTGAGCTGCTGTCAGAGCAGCGATGCCTACGTTATCGCTGTGGCACCTCTCCCACAGCCCCAACACCCCTCTGTGACCGAGCTTGCCCACAGGCCAGCCCAGGGAGTTCCAAAAGACAACCAAAGCCATGCCCCCCCCCAGCCTGGGTGCCGTGGGACAGCACTGGAGAGTCACACTGACACATCACACCGACACACCACACAGCTCCCCCGCACACGAACGCGTCTGCTAGAATGACTGAATGCACACAACACACGGAGGGCACCCTCAAATCTCACTGAAATCAATTACGCTAAAATAATCACAGAACTCCGGGTCAAACCTGACAGGAGAGGAAACGACAGAGTTCAGTAACCCAGGCAACCCTGACGTATTTCCTTTCTCCATGTTAAGCAACTCGGACCAGAAAGATACAGATGATATTAACTTTTTAGATGCTCAACTTCTGCAGTGCGGGGGGGTCCCAGCTGGTCTGAGCATTTGCAATCCATATCAGGTCTTGGCTCTGCAACATCATTGACCATAAGGAAGCATGACCTGAAGGAAGAGGCACAGGCAGGAATCCTTCAAATCCTTAAGGACCTGAAGGATACATAGAGCAGGACCTGGACAGGCTGGAGAGCTGGGCAGAGAAGAACCTCATGAGGTTCAACAAGGGCAAGTGTAGGGTCCTGCACCTGGGGAGGAAGAACCCCAGGCACCAATACAGGTTAGGGGTGGATCTGCTGGAAAGCACGGCTGAGGAGAAGGATCTGGGGGTCCTGGTGGACAGTAAACTATCCAGGAGCCAGCAATGGGCCCTTGTGGCCAAGAGGCCAATGGGATCCTGGGCTGCAGAGGGAAGAGTGTGGCCAGGAGGTGGAGGGAGGTCATTCTCCCCCTCTGCTCTGCACTGGGGAGGCCACAACTGGAATCCTGCCTCCAGTGCTGGGCTCCCCAGTTCAAGAGAGACAGGGAACTGCTGGAGAGAGTCCAGCGAAGGGCAACAGAGATGATGGAGGGATTGGAGCATCTCCCTGATGAGGAAAGGCTGAGAGAGCTGGGGCTCTTGAGCCTGGAGAAGAGAAGGCTGAGGGGAGACCTTATCAATGCTGACAAGTGTCTAAAGGGTGGGTTGGAGGAGGATGGAGCCGGACTCTTTCCAGTGGTTCCCAGGGACAGGACGAGGGGCAACGGGCACAAGCTGGACCATGGGAAGTTCCACTGGGATGTGAGGAAGAACTTGTTTGGGGTGAGGGTGGCAGAGCCCTGGCAGAGGCTGCCCAGGGAGGGTGTGGAGTCCCCTTCTCTGGAGATCTTCAAGCCCCACCTGGATGCTCCTGAGTGATGTGCTCTGGGCAGCCCTGCTTTGGCAGGGGAGTTGGACTGGATGGTCTCTAGAGGTCCCTTCCAACTCTGACAATTCTGTGATTCTGTGACCTCTCTGACAACACGTTAGCGGTGGCTTCTGCTGTTTATTGATACCTCTTACAGAGGTTTTTACTGCTGTACATTAAGTATTGTGGTGAAAAAAACCCGTGAGTCTGTGCCTCTTATCTATCACAGATCAAAGATGATTCTTGTAAATCATGTTCAGACAAAATCATTCCGAAAGTAATGACATATATTATGCCAAAAATGGAAGTTTGGCTAGAGACATTTATTGTACACTGAAGGGTGGACTGTTCCCCAGGTCCCAACCACTGCGTGCACACGTAGGGACCAGGCACAGAGGTGAGGCTAACAGCACACACAAACTACTTCCTACATCTCAGTTACCACATTAAATCTTCTCCTTTGATAAAATCTCCTCGCCTTATTCCAAGGACAGGCAGGCTCACCACCATCATCCCAGGCCTGTCTCCACACCAGCCTCAGCGCTGGGGGCTCGGGATGAGGAACTGGCCACAGGAGCTGGCAGCACAGCCAAGCCATCATCCCTCCCCACCAGCCTCCTGGACAACTGCCACAGCACCAAGACACCACAGAAAATGCCTAAGTGGGTCCTACAGAAGAGAGAATGCCAGTGACAGCCTTTCTGGGGGACTGTACCGCTTTGTAGGTACCGAGGCTACCTACCATGAAACTGAAGTTTTACTCAGAGCAGGTCAGAACATTCAGGATGGTCTGTCCAGACTTTAGGGTTCCTCACAGTAAAAACAAGCTTAAACTCACCCTCCTGTGATGTACTTTCTTTGCAGCACTGATGTCACAGGGGCAGGAGGAGGCTCTCATGCCCTGCCCAAAGGAGCTCGTCCATGCAGCAGCGGTGCAGAGAATCATAGAATTGTCCGGGTTGGAAGGGACCTTTAAAATCATCTAGTCCAACCATCAACCTAACTAAATCATGGTGATAATTATTAAAAAAAAAAAAAAAAAGGCCCAGTGCAATATAAGAGAAGTTTGAAAAAGTGCTAAAGGTTTTCTAGGGGATCAGCAACACAAATTACAGTAATTCAAAGTATGTTATTTAGAAATTCAAAGTTTTGTGAGCCATGGTTGTACTTGACTGAAGTTTCTGAGTCAATGCTATAGAGTATTACAGACATAGAATCATAGAATTGTCTGGGTTGGAAGGGACCTTTAAGATCATCTGGTCCAACCATCAACCCAACTCTGATAAAACCATCACTAACCCATGTCTCTAAGCACTATGTCAACCCAACTTTTAAATCCCTCCAGGGACGGTGCCTCAACCACTTCCCTGGGCAGCCCATTCCAAGGTTTAATAACCCTTTCAGTGTCAAAATCTTTCCTGATATCCAATCTGAATCTCCCCTGGTGCTTGGGGCCAAGCACAGGCTACGCCGAGCCAGACTCAAGAACCAGCAGCTATCCTTGAAAATTTTGAAAATCCAGGCAAATGTGGACAAGCACAATCTCTGCTCCCTAACGGCAGGGCTATTCTCGGGGGGAAAGGTCAAGTTTCTATTACAAACCACAGAGGCACCAGATTTCTTAACAAAAAGACTCTCTCAAGAATGAGTGACATAAAAAAAAAAAAAAAAGCTCTGCAATTAGTGCAGCTGCCTGCATACACTCTCACTGCCTGGGAGGCATACAAAGAGCACGGTCACATCCCAGTGCAGGGCCACGTTCCAAAGCCAGGCCTGTAATTGTGCCGAATTCTCATTTGCCATGGCATTCTTGGGAGGGGAGAACGCCCTGCCTGCTGCATTTGTCAGTGCCTGTCTCAGCACTCACCCGGCCACTCGGCTCCCAAGGAAAAAAAAAAAAAAAAAAAAAAAGTCTTCATTGCAGAGATCTTGCAAAGTTACACTCCGGCGAGTAAACAACTGCTCCAGAGCCAGGGAGCAAAAACATCTCCCCAGCAACCCCCTTCCAGAAGGCACATGTGAGCACCGACACCAAGCTCAGCACACAGGGAGCTACATCTTACGAAAAACATTCTCCTTTCTGCCATCTTTCAGTGGGAGCCCAGAAGAAGAAAATCCTGGCTCTCTTAAAAGCAAAAAGACTGAGGCAATTTTACAAGTTTACCAAGACAGGCAGGCATAGACAACAAAAACCGTTCGGGATAAGGTAGAGCAGAAGAAACTTGTTGGGACAAGTAATACCAGCAGCCCAGGAGCAGAGTTCTCCAAGGAGTGCCTGGAAAATTAAGCCATGCTGCAAGGAATAATCTTTTAGCAAAGCAGCTTTCCAGAACAAACTGGCAGGAAGCAGGAAAGAGCAGAGCAAAATCTTCAGGTAATTTGACTGGCGTCGCATGAGGCAGATGGAACACCAAAAGACGAGCTCTCCCCTGCTTTTGAGGGCGGCAGCTACAGTCTATAAGGCTTCAAACAAAAAAATAAATCTTACACTTCCATACTCTCCCCTGCTTTTGAGGGGGGCAGCTACACTCTCTAAGGCTTCAAACGAAAAAATAAATCTTACACTTCCATATTTATTCAGGGCATCACACCTCGTTTGGGTGAAGGGGCTGTTAATGCCATTTTAACCTGGGCTAAGGATGTCACCACACTGCGATGGTGGGCCCTCAGCAGGGCTGACCACCTGCCAGTAAGTTTTACCC